ATATATATATATATATATATATACTCCCATTCCTCTGTGTAGAGACAGAAACATATGCACAGATCTTATTTTTCTTGTGACATTGTGTTCTGTTGTTAATGTGTTTGGAATGACGGGATATAGTATTGATAGCGTGATTAGTGTGTGGAGTGGAAGGGAATTTTGGTGAGATTTTTAACGAAAAAGGGAATCGTATACGCATTAGCTTTCCATGTATGTAACTCTTCTGTTCTATCTTTATTATTTTTCTTTTTCTTTTGTCAACACGTGTTAGCGACTTATTATCATTCTAAAATGTATTTACCCCCACACGAATTCCCGTTTTTTATTACTGTTTTTATTATTATTATTATTTTACTTCTATTATGTGTATGGGTCTTCGTTATCGGTTCAAAAACAGTGTTGTTCATCATAGACTCGTTTCATTCTCTTGTCTTGTGTGTTTTTTTTTTACTTTTTTGATTTTATTTTCACTTTTTTGGCACTTCGATGGGTTTTTAAACCTCACGTGTGTATTGCATATCAATTTTCTTTTATTTTTGTTGTTGTTGTTTTTTATTTATAATGATTTCTTTTTGTTTTGGCCTGTAAATGGGTCTGTCTGTCTGTGTGTGTGGTTTCTGACCATAATAATAATAACTCTCTACGTGTGTTTTTTTTTTTTTTTCCTTCACTGCAATAATAAAATATTCCTTCTGTTTTTCCCCTTTTCTTTTTTTTTTTTTTTTTCATTATGTTCCTTCTTTCTTTCTTCCCACCGTGGTGTTGGGGGGTGGTTTAGAAGAAGTGAACAAGGAAAAATAAAATAAAAAAAAAAGGGTAAAAAAAAAAAAAAACCAAAGTCAACAAGCAACAACAACAAGAACCAAATCAAGCGAAACAATAACCAAACAAACAAAAAGCAAATTTTTATCAGTCAACCTGTGTAATTCCTTTACTGTTTTCAATTGCAATCAATCATGAGTGGATTCCAAATTCCTGAGAAGCGTGAGCAGCTTATCATTATGGCCAAACTGGCCGAGCAGTGTGAGCGGTATGACGAGATCCTTGTCTGCATGAAGCGTGTGGTGAAGATGAATCCCGTTCTCTCATCAGAGGAACGCAATCTCCTTTCAGTGGCGTACAAGAATGTGATTGGAGCCCGCCGTGCATGCTGGCGCAGCATCACCGCTCTTGAGCAGAAGGAAGATCTCAAGAAGGAGAAGAATGTCACTCTCATCAAGGGATTTAAAAAGCAAATTGAGAAGGAGCTGAGTGATATCTGCACAGACATTCTTGAATTGATTGAGAAACACCTCCTCCCCCACGCCGACACGGACGAGACAAAGGTATATTATCTCAAGATGAAGGGTGACTACCACCGCTACTATGCCGAGATTGAGACCAACTCGGAAGAACAGAAGAACAAGGCGTTGGAGGCCTACACGCAGGCCCTGCAGTACAACTCTTCCCTCAAGCCAACAAGCCCCATCCGCCTCGGCCTCGCGCTGAACTTCTCTGTCTTCTACTATGAGATATTAAAGAGCCCCGATCGTGGCTGCCAACTCGCCCGGCAGGCCTTTGAGGAGGCCCTCAGCGACCCGGACGTGCTGGACGAGGAACAGCACAAGGAGGCCGCTCTCATCATGCAGCTGCTGCGGGACAATCTCGCGCTCTGGACAGAGGACGCCCACCCGGAGGGACAGGACGACGGCACCGCCATGGAGGAACTCGAGTAGTGTGTGGATAAAAGAGAGTTCTGCAGCTGCAGAGAAGAATACATACAGAGTGTGTCAGCCTGAGAGAGGGAGAAAAGGAAAACGAGAACGTTTGAAGGAAGGCAATATTGAAAAAAAAAAAAAAAAAGAAAAGAAAAATGATACATTTTTAAACAACAAAAAAAAGAAAGAAAAAAAGATATCTCCCTATAGAGAAAGAAGAGGGAGAAAAAAAAAAAAAAAGAAAGAAAAGAGAAATGAGTGAAGCGTAGAGAATAGGGAAGAAGAGGAAAATGACGCGGCAAAAGAGAAGTGTGATTAGTCATTTGTGTTGTTGTTGAGATGGTGTGACACCGGGAGGGAAACGAGGAGAATGGAAAGAAAAAAAGGGGAAAAGGAGGCTGGCAGTGTGAACATGAAGAAACAAAGGAAAAAAAAAAAAAAGGAGTGCCCGCAAAGTAGAATGGAAGACAACAACACCATTAGCACTAGTAAGAATAGCAGCAGCGGCACCAGTAGCATTTGACAATGTTGGAGACGAGGAGTATGGGGTGGGAATGGTTGAGGGGAACAATCACCCATTCCTTTTTTTTCCCCCTTTTTTGTTGTTTATTGCTACTATTATTGTTGAGACATTCTCCCCCCATCAATGTACATCCATACATTCCCCTTTTTTTTCTTATGAATCACTTTTTTTTTAAACTGTTTGTTTATTTTTATTTTATCGTAATGAAAAAAAAGGATAAACGAAAGAAAAAAAAAAAGAACCTTTTTTGTTACTGGTATTTTGCTTGGCGTTTGGCGATCGAACACCACTGAGGAGAATGCCAGGATCAGATTAAGGATGTACCTAAGAAGGGGAGAGACGTAAAAGAAAAAAAGAGAGGGATACAAATTTGCTTGTAGAGGATGGAAATGAAGAGGTAATAAAATAAATGAGGATAGAAAGATTACACAAAAAGAGGGTATAAAAATAAATGGATAATAATAATAATAAAGTGACACAGCAAAGGGAGAGAGAAAGGGAGATAAAAAAAAAAAGGAAAGAATGAAGGAGATATATAGAGGAGAGAAAAAAAGAAAGAAAAGAGTATGCGTTTCCTGCAGTGACAATTGATTGTATGGGTGAAAAGGGTAAGATTTCAGTGGAGTAAAAAAAAATATATATATACCTTTGGAACCCTTGTTTTCTTTTCTTTTCTGTTTTACTTTCTTTGTTTTCCTCTTTCCCTGCTCTTCTTTATATTGCAATCATGCAAACTGTGCGCAGGAAGTGAAAAAAAATATATATATAAGAAGAGGCATAAAAATTGATAGAGTGCTAAGAGAGCCCAGTGTAAGATTTCAAAAGGATTTCATCTCTGCTTTATTGGGTCTCTCTCTGTGTGTGTGTGTTCTCTTTTTTTTTATTTTTCTTTTCTCTCTGTTGTGTTCTGTTCATATTCTCCCCCTCTCCGCGTCATTACGCGTTTATTATTATTATTGCTATTCTGCGGGTTCTGTGTATTTTTGCAATGTTTGAGTGAGCGAGAGAGTATGACAAACATGCTCTTTTTTGTTTTCTTTTGTTTTGTTTTGTTTTGCTTTCCGTTCATTGCCTCTTCTTTGCAACATTTTTTTTTTTTCTGTCTGGTGTGGTGTCTGTATGTCTCTGTGTGTGTGAGTGAGTGTATGTGAATTCCCCATTCGTTTCTTCCCTGCCTTCCCCAAAATCTCTTTTTCTTCCCTTTATTGCAGCTGTCGTGTCTCTTTCTTTTATTTCATACAGATACACTCCCACACAAGCACAGATCTTACGCAGATATGTCTTTTTTTTTTTATGTTTTGATCCCTCGTAGAGTTTTATTTGATAGCAGAAGATCATCCATACGTACGTGTTTGCATTCTTCATGAGAGAATTGCCGTTGTATGTGTGTTTCTGCGTGTCTCTGTGTGTGTATGTGTGTGTGTTTGTATGTGAAAAAGAGAGAGAGAGAGAGAGAGAAAAGGAAAAAGGGGAAGGAAAGAGAAAGAAAGACTAACTTTGTGTGTCTGTTTGCATAGGATGCCCACACCACTGCACAACACTTTTCACTTCTTCTAGCACTACTACTACTACAACTACTACTATTATTGCATATTGTGTGAAGTTTGATAACATGATATTGAAACATCTATACCTGTTCTTTTTTATTTTTTTTATTTTCATCTGTTTTTCCTCTTTTTTTTATTAATTATTTGCCTTTTTTTCTCTCTTTTTTTTTCTCTATTTTTCTTTGCAGCGCACGTGAGAGAGGTAGTGCCAATAAGGGCACAAATACATAGTCATAACAGAAGAGCGAGTTCCAAAGCACTCTTTATCGAGAAATATATATATATATATATATATATATATATATAGGTGGGTAACAAAAAGGGAAAAAGAAAGAAAAGAAAGCAATAACAATCTGTACATATTTTGCGTCTTTCCCCTATCAGTAGAAAGAAATGGCTCCTTTACCAGCCATTCGATTATTTCTTCTAGCCGTACGGCAAATATCAAAGCCGGTGGTGAAGGCAACTGTAATGCGAGCACAAAACAAGGCAACATTTACACGTGCTGTCTGTATTGGCCTTGGACGCTTTTCATTCGGTGTTAGTCGTGTCGTTGCGAAGTGGTCTGCAGAAGAACGTGTCAGCCGCCGACAAGGTGTGAATGGTAACAGCAATAGTAGTAGCAATACAGGGAGTAGTACGGCAACTAGTGGAGATGCAGCGACGAAGAGTAAAGACAAAGAAACGGAGAATCTCGTCAGCGCCCCACGCTCACGTTCACTGCTTCGTGCGGCATCGGAAGATACTATGCGTAGTTCCCGGCTGTTGTTTGTTCGTCGCCCAGTGGAGAGTGCCTGGCAGGCATTCCGTACAGCCTTCTTCGCACCCTGTGATGAGAAGGTGCTTGTAAGTACCGGGGCGGAGCTGCTTATTGAACTGATTGTCTATTCAATCCTTGTTGTGGTGCTGTATTTTGAACTCAGTACGCAGGCCAAAGCAGCGGAGGCAAAACATAAATATCTTCTTTCTCGTATTGAAGCATTGGAGCGAAAAGTTAATGAACTTATTGAGGAACATCATGAAGGTGAAGTGGAAACTATTGAGGCACCTGCACCAGTTCGTGTGACTCGTCTTGATCGACTAAGGAAAGGTTTCTCGTCTATCCTTAGTACGATCGCATTATCATGATGATGATAATGACTACGATGGGTGAATATTTGGTTGTGGTGCTCCTGTATGAATGGAGAGAGAGAAAGAGGAAGTGAATGAAACAAGAAAAAAAAGTAAAAGCAATATATTAGTTGTGCTCCTTTTATTTGCAAAAAATATATACATATATATGAAAGGAAAAGAAAAATGGAATTCAAACAGAAACATGTGTGTATATTCAAATATACATAATCCACATCATGCTCCTTTAGAAAGTTTTTTTAGATATACTCTGAATTCTATTCTCACACTCAACCCCTTTTTAATTCTTTTTTTTTTTTTCCTCCTTGTTGTTGTTTGTTTTTCCTTGCATCTAGTTGCAGATATTTTCAAAGCGGTAGAAATGAATGCAGAGGAGGAGGAGAAGACGTCACCCTCTGACAGAACTGTAGCTCTTTCCGCAGAAGAGGAGCTTCAGAAACTTCAGGAAAAAACAAATGCATGGAAGAAGTCTGTTGCTATTCAGTTAAATGAGGCAACGAAGAAAAATAAACAATTACGTGAAGAGCTAAAGGAGTCTAACGCCAATCATGAGGCGGAAATGGCTTCTTTGCGTGTACAGCTCGACAGAGAGTTTCGTGAGCGTACAGTGCTTAAGGATGAGGAAATTACTCGTCTACAATTACAATTAGGGAAGCTGCGGGAGGAAAAGCGGTTAATGGCGGAACAACACGAAAAAGAAATAGAAGACACCGCCACTCGTGTGCGTGAGACGTGTCAGTTGGAAAGTGCCTCACGTAATGAGGCGGATCTCGCCCAGCGTGAGGCGGAGTCCCGTCAACTACGAGATGTGATTGAAAGTAAAGAAAAAGATTTATTGCATGCGGAACACGAAGTGGCTGTTTTAACCGCACGTCTTGAAAGACTTGGGGAACAGTACAAGGAACTCTCAACACTCATGACGAACAACACCGACATGGATGCTGGTGAGAATAATAATCATAGTGATGGGGATAGTACACTCCAGAATGCTCTGAAGATGAGTGATGTAGCACATCAGCAGCAACTGGAGGCGGCACGATCGGAGTTGCGCAGTCTGGAGGAGAAAAATGCCAGTAAATTACGAGATGCTCAACGATCATTTGAAACAGAAAGACAACGTTTAATGGATGATTTATATCAACGAGAAGAACAACTTGCAACACTACATACACTCTTACGACAGGCACAGAATGAAGCGGCGACGGCACAACAACGCATTGCAGGTGCACGAGCAGAGAAGGAACGGTCAGAGCAGCGGCTTACCGAAAAGGTAGCGGCTCTTAGCAAAGAATTAGCAAACCGAATGGAAGAATCTCAAAAACTTACGGTTGAAGTAGAACGTTTGAATCGAGAAGTAAATAGACAAGAAACACTTGTACGAAGTTTAGAAGAAGAGGCAAGTATGCGTGAAGAGGCTTTTACATCATTAATGCTTTCAGAAGATAGTAGAGCCCTTGTACAAGGGCTTCAAACAGCATTACAGGAAAGTCGTGAAGAAGCTGAGTTATGGCGTTGTAGATATGAAGAAAATATGCAAAGAGAAGGACGTGGTACAGCTGTGGTGATACGTGGGGATGATGAAAATGAGATGAATGGAAATACCTCGCATGAATTAGAACAACACAGAGAAGCATTAGCAGCAGAGGCTTTAAGATTAAAATCTAAAGAAAAAATGCTGAAAGCGACAGAGCAACGACTTGAAGAACTTAAACGTTCCATGGCCTCACAAGCGAGTCTTATATTACAACAACATGGCGGGGACGAAAGTGGACGCAGAAAAGATGTTGATGGATCAGGAAAAGAACGACGTGGAGGTACACTTTTTAACGCTCCACGAAGGTATATGCAGATGATGCGGGAACAACAAGGGGATGAAGGTTTCTTTTCATTAAGGCGATTTGCTTCTTATTTTCTTTTTATACGATTACGTACGGCATTACCATTGTTCCTTTTAGCAGTTTCACTATTTCTCATATTTCTTGTGAGTCGACGAGCGGCTGTCACCCGTGAACCGTCATTAATAGGACAGCCTATGAGGTAATTAAGCGTCTATGAGTATTTTAGAGGAAATAAAAGGGGGGGGGGAAAAAAACGGAATGAAAAAGGAAAGAATTTGGGTCTTTGGGCGGAAAGTTGGTAGTCTAAAGGGAAATTACTATCATTCTATCCTCCTTTTCCTGGGTTGAATTTTTTTTTTTTTTCCTCCCCCTGTTTGCTCTTCCTTATCCTCTCTCTGATGCGAAATGACTTTGTAGAAGCAATGAAAAATGAACAAAAGAAAAGGGAGAGGGGAGGAATATATATATATATATATATATATATATAAAAGAGAGAGGGATTCATGTAAAAATAGTGTTTATTTCCTTTTGCGTTGTTCGGTTTTTCCTAACGTTTACACCATATTCCCTTATATATGTGTATGTGTACGTATACATATATATATATATATATATATATATGCATACATACACGTGTCTCTCTCTGTGTTGGAAATATTACTCTCCATATGGTATGTTGTTCCTTTTTCATCCATTTTTTTGTTGTTTCTACTGTTTCTGTTAATGCTTTCTTTCACAGAGCTTGCTTGACGTTCTTAAAGCTCAAAGAGAGAGGGGAAGAGAAAACAGAGAACCACACGTCGAATAAAAAAAAAAAAAGAAGAAAGTATAATATACATGAGCGAAGGGCTTGTCAACAAAAAAACGAAAAATAGTTTTTGTGTTCTATCTATATTTTAGTCTCCTATACAGTCTTTTTCATTTGTTTTTTTTTTTCCTTTTGTTTCTCGGTGAATCCACTATCACCAAAGCTCTTTCTACATGCTCTCTCTCTCTCTCTCTATTTCTCTTCCCCTTGTATTTGTGTCACCCCTATTTCTTTTCTTATTTTTTCTTTATTTATTACATTACTTTTTCCATACGTACAGCAGCACAGGCTTCGACGCTGTTCCCATGTTCCGCAAGAGGGCCTCTGCGGTGGCGCGGCGCTCTGTGGTGAAGACGATGAACAACACCGGCGACACGGACGAGACCCTCTCGCAGATCCTCCACGTCTTCCGTGAGAGAGCGGTGCCCTTCTCGGATGTGGATGAGACCTTCGAGGATCGAGCCGCAGCAGCCGTGAGGCGGCCGTCTATTCTCACTTGCAAAGCCTTCGCCGCCTCACTGGTCTGCCCGAAGAAATTTCATCTCCTGCAGAACCGCCCTGATTTAGTTCCACACATCTCCATTGGGGATGCTGTACATCTTGACGATGGAGCGGCATTTAATGAACTTGCAAGGCGGTGGGATAGACTGCAGTTTGGAAGCCGCGCGGTGGTTGTGCATGAGCGAGACTTTGATCAGGCTGTGCAGCGAACAGAAAGTGTGCTTGTAAAATACTTTCAGACCGTATATGCACAACTTGGGGAACAGGCACCAACACTAACAATTCACCGTCCAGCATTTTCTGCACCATTTGGAGGGGATACTTCATTTGATGTGATGAAAAATCATCCCTCTGTACTTCGTGCCCGACCAGCGGTACTGCGTTTTCGACCAAAAGATAATCAATGGGTTATTCTTGAAACTGCTGCTATTTTAGACCCTTTCAGTAGTGCCGCAAGCCTTGCAAAGTGTTTACAGCGATTACACTTTACAACACTTGCCTTTCGCTACTGGGTAACACAACCGCATATTCCTATACAAGTACGTAAACGTTTCCTTAATATTGACCTTGATACTGTTACAGAAGAAAATCTTAAAGGTCATCGTCTTGAATCTACTGCACAAGTAGCAGTTCCACTTGATTTAAAACGCAGTGGTTTTCTTCATATTCGACAATTTTTCCCAGGACCTGTAACATTATTAGATTGTGACCCATCGCGTCTTGTAAAGTACGTACAGCGACTCTCTTTAGAAGATTTACTAGAAGCAGATATGTGTTCATCTCATCGTTCAGGAGGGGCATTTGATTTAAGTGGTGTTAGTGGTACTGGAAATTCGCTTGTAAAAGAAATACAAACAAAAATAGAAGCTTTGCAAAAAGTAGGGCAAGAACATCGTCATCCTGGTAATAGTTCATCTAGTCGAGCTTCTAAAAAGAAGGATAGTGAATTAAAGGAACTGTTTATATCTCAACAAAAACTTATGGAAGCTTTAATTCTCACTCACACTCTTCCTCTTATTGAGAAAAGTCATGATTCCAAAAATGTGCAGAAGTGGGTTGCTTTTGCAAATCTTAATGATGAAAAATTGAAACCTACTTTTGCTGACGAAGAAATAATTGTAACAGGAGAAAAAGAAAAAGTTACAAAGAAAAAATCTACAAATCGTAAAAAGAATGAAAAAGAAGAGGAAGAGAAAGAAAAAGAGAGTAGTACTACAAGTTGTGAAAAATGTGTGAGTATACCAGCGTATTCGGAATTTATAGGTTCTCATTGCTCCCGTGGTGAGACCTGCCCATTCTTTACAGAAGGTATGTGTTTACCAAATAAATTTGAGGATCCACTTCGAAGACGTGATAATCATCTTTTTACAGTTCCCTCTACCGCTGTTTCACGTAAGACATTATGGTGGTCGCAAGGTCTTCGTACTGTACGTGATGTTTTGTATCATTACAAAAAGGGAACAATAAAATTAACCGCACCGCAACTTCGACACGTAAAAGCTGTTGCTGAAGGTAAATTATGTGTAAACCCGAAAGAAATAGAAGAATTTTTTTCTAAAATTCGTTATCCAGCATTTTTTATAGATTTTGAAGCGACACAGTTTGCTCTTCCACCTTTTGAGAAAGTAGTCGCCTATCAACCAACCCCATTTCAGTTTTCTCTTGATGTTTTTCAGGAGGATATATTAAATGAGACACCAACACACTACGACTTTCTACACTTTGGAAAAGGATATTCACCTAATGTTGACCCACGTCGTGGTTGCGTTGAGGAGTTAATGCGTATTGTACGACTTGAACGTGAAAAAAAGAAAAATTCTATGATAGCATCAGGAGAACTGGATCGTATAGAAAAGCAAAAGAAACAGCAAGAAGAAGAAGATTCAAAAGGAAAGAAAAGACGTGGAAAGCAATCTTTAAAATCAAAGAATTTAAATATTACAAAGAATAATCCCTTACAAGAACCCGTGAATCCATATGATGGTTGTTTTATTGCTCATTTTGCTAGTTTTGAAAAATCATGTCTGGAGAAATTAGGTCAATTAATGGATGAACACAAGGAAGATATTAAACAATTTTACTTTCTTGATACCTTAGATCTCTTTAAACGTGGTTTTGTTCACCCAAATGCCCATGGTTCTAATTCTTTAAAAAAAGTTCTCCCCGCACTATGCCCAGACTTTCAATATGGTGTATTTGGTGAGGAAGCCTGTAGTGATGATAGTAACGCCAGTGCGTCTGATACCGATGGTGCTAGTGGCGGTAGACAAGATGAACAAAAGGGTGAAAATGCCATGGGAGTATATCGATTATGGTATCATCATGAGGGTGGAGGATCACTGAAGGATTTGCAGCAAATCGCTTCTAGAGATCATCAACGAAAACAAAGTGTAAGTGGTACAGGAGAAAAACAACAAGAGCAAATGCCACATTTAACAGCAGTACCTCCAGCCCGACAGGATATTCGTGATAAAGCGTGGGCAATGCTGCGAATACAATTGTTGGAATATTGTTCATTAGACACAAAGGCATTGTATGAAATAATGCGGCAAGTTTGGCTTGAGAAGGAGGCGGTGAAGGGTATAAAGACAGATAAGGGTGGTTGGGTTATGGCAGAGCCACTCCCACGAGAACATAATTTCTAACCAAAGTGATCGTGGGAGTGTGTTGGTGAAGAAAGAAGTTTTACTTTTGGAGGAAGTGGAAAAAGAAAAGAAAATGGGGCAAAAAAAAGAAAAAGAGGCAGAAGAATGAAAAAAAAAAAAAGCAAACCACTTAACATTATCACCTAATGGAGTCAGAGAAAAGAGAAAATAAAAAAAAAGAGAGTAGTTCTTTTTTATTTTTGTTTTTCTTAATGACCTTTCCATTGTACTGTAGTTAATTCCGTCGCTCTCGGAGAAACAGGAATAAATATAATGAAAAAAAAAAAACGAAAGTAACTCAATGAGATCACTTTTATTTTTTTTTTTTGTGATTTTTTTTCTCATTATATTGGCGTCAAAAATATTCATGAGGATTCTTATTGCTCGTACGATTAGGTTGTGTATACTGTGTGTATGTGTGTGTATGTTTGTGTGTGTATTTTTATTTTTATTTTTGATAAAGTTCTTTCATTATTGATTTTTTCATAATTACGGATTGAGATTACCTAGTAAGGGAAAAGGGAGAGAGAGCGAAAAAGAAGAAAAGAAAAAAAAAAGCAGTAAAGAAAAAGAAAAACGAATGACGATAGCAGTCATGTGTGATGGGGCACCAGCCTCTGTGAAAGCGATTGGATGGGCCTCTGTTCCCGGTCACTTGATGCCACAGCATGATGGAGCACAGTTGATTCTACTGCATGCGTGGGATAAGGATACAGCACTGCGGACTGCGGCATCGAGGGAAAACAATGCGAAGACATCCATCGTGGTGGATGAACAAACTGCGCTCCACTGCCTGTCACCCGCTGTAGTTGTGCAAAAATCGCTTGAGGCAATCATGGAGAGTAAAGTCACACGTGATACACTTAATTATAAATTAGAGACAATGGTTCTGGATCTACCGACAGTGGCAGGGAAAACACCATCAATATCAGCAGTGGCACAACAGCACAACAGTTCCCCTTCCAAATCATCATCACATGCGAAGAAAGAAGCCGATATTTCGTCACCACCACCACCAGCGGCCCCAACAACAGAAGCGGAGATGGAAGCTAACTCCGTGAATGGAGCTGAAGAAGCGACCCAAAGTCGTGCAAATGCTGTTGCAGAATATGCCCTTGAACGGTTAAACCACCATCAAGCAGAAGCTCTCGTATTAGGTTCTGGGAATAGTACGGCCGGTAAAAGCATTCTGGTGGGTCACGTAAGCAAGGCTATACTCAGTACTGTACGTCAAACACACCCTCTATGGTTTATTAAAACTGGTGGTTGCACAATGCGGATAAATACCGCAATGCTGCGATACGTTGTGGTGCTTGTGCCCCGTCCTGGTGATGAAGAGTCTCTCGCGAAGGATTCCCTTGTGGTGCAGTACGCTCTTGAACGGCGTCGAAAAAAGAGCAGTGACACTGTTAGCGTTGTCGTAGTTGCTGAGTATAATACACCCCCAGAAGAAGTGGAGCGGTACTCACAAGTGATAGAAACACTTTTGAAGGAATTTGAATCAACCATAGAATCTGAAACATGTGGACAGGAAAATGAAGAAACTGATCCTGCAACTCCTCCCTTGCCTCAGAGTATAGTAGCAGAAAATAATACGGTAGCTGATCTTCCAAAGAAAGAATCTGTGATCACGTTGGAAGGGGAAGTCCCGCCTACTGCTGATGGGCGTGAAGATGCTGCAGAGGGACAAGAACAGCAGCAATGGCCAGGGATTTCAGTGTGTCAACTTAAACCCACAAAACAAGTGTCGGAGCCAACAGTGATTAATGTATCTGGACAGGTAGTGAAGTTTTTACAGCGTTACAAGACGGATATTGTTGTTTCCCCCTCTACTCTCCCAGAGGAACTTCATTTGGCTTTACTCGCCATGTCAAAACAGCACACTCTGGTTGTGCCATCTGCTGAGGTAAAATCACATTCCAGTATATTGAGGACAGTTTTAGCAGCAGCAGCGACAACAACAACAACAACAGCTGCAGCAGAAGCAACCGAGAAGAATGCGGAAGCGCCTGCTGTAGTGGTCGAATGTACAGAATGAGTTTTCTTCGTTTACTCTCATGAGTTTGTGGGGTGTAAGTGTACTATCCCTGGATCTATGTTCTTCTTTTTTTTTCTTGAAGTATTTTTTTTTTTTTTTTGTGGGGGATATATACATAAACTAATTTGGTACAAAAAGTAAAAAGAAATTGATTTCAAGTAAATTTCTTACAAGTATTTCCTTTTTTTTCTTTCTTTTTTTTTTTTTGTTTTTCTTTTCTTTACCATTGTATAAGAGATCCAACCCACATGGCGGAGCCCGTGATAGCAAAGCCCCGGATAGCTACAGTAAAGCCAATTCCGGGGAATTCGGTGTCTAATTCTCCGTCAGTGTCACGTTCAGAAAATAATACAACCACCCCTACACCATTAACAACAACAACAGCAGTGGCAAGCGGCAGCGCATCGGTATCTAGTGTAGTACAACACATCCATCGATTGGAGCCCCCGGCCTCGGTCATTCCATCACGCTGGCGTAGCGGAAGTGGACACACAAAGGAACGGCTACGCACTACAACAGCAACAACAGAACAACAACAACAACTGAACTCAGACTCAGGGTTGCGTACTGATGAGTTGAATCATGAGGGGCGGTATCGCACAACTGTGATGCAGCACACATCCATTAATAAAGAAAGTTCTTGCACTCGTAGCCACGACAGTTATACGAGTGTACACAAACCTGTTATTCCACATCTTTCAGCTGCTAAATCATCGGGGCGAGAGGCTTCAAGATCACCTGGAGCTCCAACGCTTACCGGTGGTATCAGCAGTGCATCTCAGCGACAATGGTTTACTAATTTTCATCGTATCAGCCATGGGTCAAAAGAATTGGGCGGAGAGACTTTAACGGACGCACAGAAGAGTGTTAGAAGCACTTGTAGGTCTTCAGCACGGCGACGCAATCCAAGCGCCAAGGTAGATAAAATTATGGAAGGAAATAATAATCACTCCTTTTCTAGCACTACTCCTAATAATAATAGTACTAATGAAAATAGTAATAATAATATTACTAATACCACTTCTACTGCTACTAATATTACTACCAGACACTCCCCAGTATTGTCACTGCGTCTGACAGATCTTGAGCGTCCTAAAAATAAAGGAGGATATTTAAGTACTCGTTCCAAGTCTACCAGTGCCAAACGATCTAGGGTGCAGCAAAAAGTGGTTAATCTCTTCTTGTGTAAATACTCTCTTCTCCGAACTATTGCTGAGGAGCATGGATTTAAGATCCAAGAGACGGAAGAAGATCTAGAGAAAAATCAGTTCAATCTTGTATGGTCTGATACAGTTCTTCCACTTACACGTTTGGTACGTCTCGCAAACTGGCAACGTACCAATCATTTCCCTTCTATGCACCTTTTATGCCGAAAAGGACATCTGGGTACGACACTTGGTCGAATGCGAAAGTTATTACCTACACATTATCTTTTTTACCCTCGCACTTGGTCACTTCGGAGTGAACGGGCTCAATTTATGCGATTTATTACCGCGTTACGTGCAAAGAAAATGTCAAAATTTTTTATTATGAAACCGAATTCCGGTTGTCAAGGTCGTGGTATTGTCGTTACACGTGACCCATTGAATGCTGTAGATGATCTTGATAATTATATTATACAAGAATATATTAGAAAACCTTTGTTGCTAGAAGGACGTAAATTTGACCTCCGTGTTTATGTCCTCTTGACATCAATTCGTGCACCGTCTATTTTTCTCTTTAATGACGGTCTCGTACGATTGTGTGCAGAAATATACGAAAAACCCACCGATAGCAACGTTCGAAATGCATGTAAACATCTCACAAATTATGCTGTTAATAAACAGAGTCCAGAATATGTGTTTAATGATGATGCTGAAAATGGTGGTATTGGAAACAAGCGTAACTTTAAATTTTTTAATGAATGGTTAGAATCTTCAGGGCAAGATCCAGATGAATTCTGGGAACGTGTTGCTCATGTCATATGCAAGACAATCCTTGTCGCGCAGCCACAAATTGCAAATGTCTACAATTCATGTTTTCCTAGAAATAATGACGGATACAATTGTTTTGAAATCCTCGGTTTCGATATTCTTATTGATAGTAAAATGAAACCGTGGCTAATGGAAGTTAACCATACTCCATCACTTGCAACAGATACTCCACTAGATTATAATATCAAACACGCTCTTGTCACTGAAGTATGGAATATACTGGACATAAAAACAACGGACCGTAAACGAGATGAAAAAAAGGTTCGAGATGAATTTGTTCAGCGTATTATGCGGCATCCGGCATCTGCGTCTATTGTACCTGGGGGCAAAACCCTTAATCCTAATGAAATGACCATGAGTTCATCATCTCCTAGTACTTCCTCTTTATTACAACAACAAAACCAGAATCTAAGCCAGAGTCAGTTAAATAGTTCAGCGGTACAAGAACAAGCGGCGGAGTGGAATAAATTTGTAGAGGAACGTCGTGCCCGTGAAGACTCTAAATTACATAATTTCCGCCGTATATTTCCATCCACAAACGCTGAACATCAACTTGTGTATGAGGCAGTTCTCGCGCGGGCCCGGGCCCAATGTGCCTCACCCCGCCCGAGTTGGGTGAACTCCCCTGCCCCACTCTCACCACAGGCAACAGAAGAACGGGGACGGCGAATGGACAACAACAACAACAACAACAACAACAATACTAATAATAACAACAACAACAGTAATAATACTAATAACAACAATATTGGGCATATTCCCTCGCAGCGTGTCACTGGCGCTCCTAACACCGGCACCACCACCACCGCAAGCGAGCGAAGTGCGCAAGGGACACCAGTCGACACGGGAGTTGATCCCTCACCTCGCAACGCTTCCGGTACTCTCTCCAGGGCATTGCAGATGCAAAAGATCTGCGAAGATATGAAGAATGGGAGACGCAGTACCAAACCAACACCACGGGTGAGTCCTGTCGTTCCCAGTAGAAGTGCTAGTGCGGCCACATCACGAGAAAAATTAAGTGGGGGTACGCTTCTCAATTGGAATTCGGCCCAAACTTCTTCAAAACCAACCACAATGTCAGGTGAAATATTGACATTAACTCAAAAACGTCAAGAAGAAGATCAACAACAACAACAACAACAACAAGAAGGTAATCAAGAGATGGAAATGGGGATGGAGCAACAGAAATATTCAGTGAACAATCATCTTTCTGTAGTGGTGGACACAGAAGAAGTTCCACGTAAAATGCACGTTATAAAAGCAACACTAATGCGTTCTGGTCCATCAAAAACAACTACTGACCGTTCAACTGTTACCACAATTACAACAACGACTAACAATAGCACAATGGATCGACTTGAGGCTATACGGAATCTGCAGCAGCAACTCGACTTGGAAGCAGAGTGTGAACAATCACCATCGCAAGATAGTCGAGAAGATGAGTCATTTGCTCTGGATGAAGAGTAAAGCTCTATCTAATTTAAGAAATGGTTTTATATTTTTCACATTTTTATGTTAGCAGACGAAAAAAAAAAAAATTATATATAAGAAAATAAGTACAAAACGAAAATGGAAAACAAGAAAAAAAAAATACACTGTAGAGAAGAAAATGGAAAACAACAAAAGGAAGAAAAAAGAAAAAAAAGGCGTTCTAAGAGAAATAGAGGATGAAAAAATCTTCTATTCGTTGACTTCTGTATGATGGAAATATCAGTTTTACTTAGATATTAGCTCGTTTACTTACTTACCTAATTAATTAGTCGTTCAGAGAAAAAGGAAAAGAAAAGCAAACAAAAAAAAAAAAGTGTGCGAATATAGCCACCTTCTCTTTCTCTTTATATCTGACTTCTTGCTCAATTTTTTTTGTTGTTTATCTCTTAGATACTCAATGACGTACGTACACATCTATACCATTGCTTTTTTTTTTCCTTCTTCGCATTTATTTCTGTTTTACACACACAAACACATACCCTCTCTCTCTCTCTCCTTGTTTTTCTATCCGTTCTTTTTTCTTTTTCTATTTGTGTTGTTGTTACCGCCAGTGTATCAAAATGTGTGCGTATATCTGTGTGGTGGGTAAAGAGAAACGGAAGGATAGAGAGGACGAGGAGGATTTAGAGAGAGAGAGAGAGAGAGAGAATCTGTAATAGATGAAGAAAGAAGATCAAATCATGTGATACTTAAAGCTAGTTGGAGAGATGTAAAATAAGGAGAGAAGAATTGTACGGAAGTTGATTCTGTTAATCAGAGAGTGGGATGAGAAGAAAAAAAAAAAGTGTGGGATTTGAGTGATGCGAAGATGAGTGATGATAACTTTTCGCATGGAGAAACCGTGTGCTTCTTCATCTCGTCTTCGGTTTCACTTTTCCTGAACAGAACATTTTTTTTTTTTTTTTAGCTCGCTTAAATACCAAATGCAAAGCCGCAGAAATGAGGTGATCATAAAGGGGAATGATGAGAGATATACTCTGAGTTAGTTTGAAAAGCATGTAAAAAATAACATCATCATTTTTCTTTTTTTTTTTTTCTCTCACATCGTACCACTTCTTTTCATTTTGCTTTAGAAAGGTTAGAGTAGAGATCTTCACAGTCAAAAGTGAGGACGGTGGAGATAAAAAGTGGTCCCTCGTCTTCTCTCACCTCCACCTACAATAGGCAATAACAACATAAGGGAGAATACCGGTAGAAAGAGGAAGAGTACCATCACCTGGTAGTAATATTCATAGTAGAATTGCTATTAAGCTTCAGAATATACACTCCTCTCTACTATACAGATCCCATCTATTTTATTATTGTTTCTATACAGACTCCTTGCGGAATGATATTGCAACAAAATGGAGACGCTGCATCATCACCACCAATGCGTGAAAAGACATGTTCACCCACAGCTGCAGAAACATGTGCGGTAAATTCTAACATAGCGGCAAGGCCGAATCTTTCTTTTAAACTTCGCTCTAGAGACCCTAATCGTCGTGTAGTGAAGACAAAGAATCAAACAGTAGATATTTCTCCATCAGACATGAAAGAGAATAGAAATCACAGTTCATGGGATACTCCTTCCTTTGAACATAATGGAGGTGAATCAAAGGAAGAACAAGAAAATATGCAACGAGATTGGGCAAGAAACCTACAAAAATGTTTATTAGAAGCCGAGGCGGAACTTCAAAAGTCTAGAAAAGCTGCTGAAGTACGTGAACAGGAATTTTTGGCTGCATCTGTAGAGTTGGCACGACTTCGTGAGTTGGTATCAACACAAAATCAACGAATTGCAGAACTAGAGTGGAATTTAGATCAGACAAAACCTCTTATAGTGGGTAAAAATAGTACTACAGATACAAAGATAAACCCCACTATTATAGCTAATGTTTTCTCTCCTCCTCCTCCTCGTACTCCTCCTTCTGGTATTTCTGCTAATACTAGTTGTAGTAATGGTGATAATGCTGATAGCGAATCAAATGACATGGCGTCTTTAGAGGGACTTTCAATATCCGAAATTAAGAAAGTTGTTCATTCTGCAGCAGAGACATTGCGTCGAGTTGAGGCTCAGTATGAAAAAGAGAAACGACGACGACGTGCCCTAGAAAAAGAAAATGATGAACTTCATCATCAACTCAAATTGACACATCAAAAAGAAGGTAAAAAAAAACACCACGGTGATTCTTGCCATTCTTGTAATAACGAAACACACATGCACGTAATGAACTTTCTTCAGGGAGCGTTACAGCAATTTTTGATAGATGCTGCTGAGGTACAGGAACGTGTAAAGATGCCTGGTTCACACTGTACTAATGTACAATCTTGAAATTGCTATTTTTTTTTTTTTTTCGTTCTTTCTTTCTTTTTTTTTTTTTTACACCATGGAGAATATAGATATACACATATTAAAGATATATATATATATATATATATATATATATATACCACCTTCTATGTAAATGTACCTCTGTTGTTATTGTTGTTGTACTCGTTATTAATGGGTACTTAATAAATGTTTTATTTTTTACTTTTTACTTTTCCTTTATCTTCTCTTCTTTACTCTCTCAATTAACTTTTCTTTTTTTTTGTTTTTAGTAATATAGGAAATGCCCCCCAAGCGTGGTCCCACCACTCGCGGAACACGACGTGTCGAGACGCCCAGGAGTGCACGTAAGAAGCCTCCGACGGCATCTGACAGCGTTACTCCTCGTAAAGCCGCAGATGAATCTGCTATTGTAACACCAATAACTAATGAAACAGTAGCAGAAGCTATGGAGAATAATTTAATCTTGTCACCCCCACCTCAAATCCCATCACCAGAGGATGAAACACCGAATGAAAATCTTCCTCTTGGAACTACCGCAGCCTTATCCTTAAGGGATGAAATTATATGGAGTGATAATGATGATGAGGATGATGATGAAGGTGATGATGATGAGGATGTGTTTTTATTTCCTGATGCGCAGGATCTGGCAGGCGAAGAAAAAACCGAATCTGAAATTCTTCATCTTGGTACAACACAGAAATTGGATGAGTCCGACAGCAGTGAAGATGAAGCCACACTTAACCGTGTTGGTGATATCCCACTTGAGTGGTATAAGGATGAGACTCACTATGGATATGATATTGAGGGACGAAAGTTAATGAAGAGTGAACGAACCGCGTTGGAACGTCTCTTGGATGCAACAGATGATCCAAATGCGATGCGTACTATCTATGATGCCTTACATGATGAAAAGAAACAATTGAGTAATGCTGATTTACAGATGATCTTTAATCTTCAACGTAATCGAACACCAAATGCAAACTATAATATGTACACAGATGTGGTAACTGATACAGTTGAGTTTGATCCCCTTAATCATCCTCTGGCTAGAGGTACTGGACCATCTAAGAAAAAATTCCTTCCTCCAGATCATGACATGAAGGTTATCGCAAAGATGGTACGTCGTCTTATGAAGGCTGATAAAGATAAATCAGAAGATAAAGATCAAAAAAAGAAGGATGATGATAATACAACAGATGAGCTTACACTTCTTTGGGATGACACTAATGTGGAAATGGATACACATACAAAATTTAAATATCAACATCGTGTGCCAAAACCAAAGGTTCCACCACCAGGCACGTATGAAAGTTACCGTCCACCACCAGAGTATCTTCCAAGTGAAAAGGCAAAAGAACGTTTTGCTCGTCTACGCGCTATTGACAGAAAGGAACACTTCCTCCCACAAGCTTTTGATTCTTTACGACATGTCCCCTTTTATCATCATACTATTCAAGATCGTTATCAGCGTTGTCTTGATCTCGCCTTCTTTCCACGCGCCCAACGTACACGACTTGTTGTGGATCCATCTAAACTTCTTCCTGATCTTCCAGACCCACGTGATCTACGACCATATCCGGAGCGTCTCTCATTTCAGTATAAGGGACACACAGCGACAGTCCGCAGTATTTCTGTCAGTCCTAATGGACAATTTCTCGCGACCGGTTGTGATGATCATTTAGTACGTGTTTATGAAGTATTAACAGGTCGTTTGATGAAGCGTTATGATATGGGAGCACCAGTACAACAGGTTGAGTTCTGTCCAGTAAAAACGCTTAATATTTTGGCAGTTGCAGTGGAATACAGTCTTGTTTTTATTGTACCAAAGTTCGCTGCCCATCATGTGGTGAATGAACATACATTACGTCATCTTCGAGCTCCTGGTAATGCGGCAACAGGTACAAATGGTGAACACGTCTCTGGAGGAGAAGTTTCATTGGGAGGTGGTGGAATTGTACAAACTACCATGGATAAGGATGAATCTGCACATCGTATTTTACAAGATTTACATGATACAGAAGAACGTGAGAAACGTGCAGAATTTGTTGATGCTTCAGCTCAGGAACGCAGTGCTGGTATAGTCCTTAAGATTGCATTACATGGAAAGGTAAAGCGTTTTACATTTCATGCCCGTGGTGATTATCTATGTGCACTTTGCCCGAAGGATCATGTGAAGTACCGTCAAACTGTAATGTTACAACTATCCAAGCGGAAGGTATTCTGTCCCTTCCGTAAATTCGCAGAGATAGTTACAGATTGCAAATTTCATCCTCGTGAACCATTGTTCTTTCTATCTACAACTAATTCCGTACGGGTGTATAATCTTTTGGCTCATAAATTACAACGTCGTTACAAAGCCCCAGGAGGTGTTACCACTTGTTTATCTGTACACACAGAAGGTGATAACTTCCTTGTTGGGGATACCACAAGCCACACACAATGGTATGATTGTGATTTCTCAGACAAACCATACAAACGTATGCGGTCTCACAAGGGTGTGGTTAATGCCGTGGCGTACCACACAAACACCAACGCCTATCCTCTCTTCGCAACAGCCGCATCAGATGGACAAGTTCACGTATTTCATGGTATGGTATATGATGATTACAATAAAAATCCACTGCTGGTTCCTGTGAAGATTCTCAAACACCGACGAGCGGTGTACTCCCTCGCATGGCACCCTACCCTTCCATGGGTTTTTACTTCAACAGAAGATGGTATTGTGTCAGCATGGACAGAGTGAGGGTGAGAAGAAAAAAAAAAATATAGGGAAGGGGGGAATTATATTTCCTCTTCTGTGTAAAAAAAAAAAGATGATGATGATGAAAATCCCTCTTTTTGAAGGTAAATTGCTAAAAACGAATAATCGACTATGAGCATAATTTATTTTTGATGAGAGAAAGTCTTCCTTTACCATACATTTATACATATATATATTTATTTATATTTATTTATTTTTGTATGTGTGTGTGTGTGTGAGAAAGGGGGAGTGAATACACTCCTGATTTTTCTTTCTTTAACTCTCTTAATTATGTATAAACAGAAACGAACGTAACTCTATGACCAATTTTATTTTTTTGCTTTGCTTTGTATATGCAGTTTTTTTTTTCTGTTTTCTTTTTTTTTTGCTTTGATGGATCATTTCTTTGAAGGAAATAAATAAATAAATAAAGTGTTAGTTAGTTCTCTATCCTCTGTTAATGTCGTTTAAAAGATATTCACAATCGAAAGAAGGATTTGTAGAGTATTGTGCTTCTAAAGGGATCACAGTTATTGCCGATTACATTGTATTTCTTCTTTTGACAGAACTACCGGAAAATCCATGTGGTGCTATTGCAATAAATCTACTTCAGCGACAACAGGAAGGCTGCACTGTATTTGAATTAATGGACTTGTATGCATCACACTCCGCCTACAAGGCATTCCATTTAAATAGTTCCACAGAGTATGGATCTTCACAAGTGCCTTTTCCATCGGTTGTGGAATATGTGCAATTCCATGGTATTGGTATGTTAATAGAAGAATGGTTGTGTTACTTGGAGGATCAAAACCCGGATGATGTTATCATGGCTTCTCGTGTATTCTTTCAGGCAAAACATAGAGCCTTGCAATTTCATGATGTTCAACTCTCAAAAGAAAAGAATTCATCAAAGAAAAATGTTCTTCCTCTAGACACTGCAAAAGGGATCAACACTCAACATTGTTTGCAGGAAAAATTGGTTTTAACGGGGGATTTTGAAAATGTAAAGTTAAGTGAACTGATGCGAAATGCAGCAATTTAGTATTATATTGATTAGTTATTTTTTTTTTTTTGCATTTATTATCGTCTTTTATCCTCTCTTACAGTAATGATGAGCAAGATGACCCAACCATTTTACTTTTTTTTTAATCTTATTTACTTTTTACTCCTTCATGAACTAAAAGAGTGATGGTAAAAAGAAAAAAAAAAGATTATTATTGTTGCTATTGTTATGTTTCTCTCTTTCTCTCTTTCTTCAGTAAATCAATGGAGGGATCTGTAGCAAACACTCAACAAGGCATGCAAGAATTTCCCACACGCAAAGCCATCGCTGTTTGTGGGTGTGGCAATGATGGCCGTCTTGGGTTGGGATCGTGTGATTCACAAAATCGTATTACTCTCATTCCATTCTTTTTGGGTGGCACCAACAGTACTGATACTACTAATAGTAATAACAATGAGAAAAAGAATAATCATGATGGGAATATGCCTGGAATCATACAAACTTTACGTGTAGGTGGATATCACAACTTTGTAATCACTACAACAGGTGTATATGGATGGGGACTAAATGAAAATGGACAACTCGGTCTTGGTCGTGGTACCGCTGCGTCTGTACTGCAACCCACACGTATTAATTTCTTTGATGAACATCCCGTTATTGATATTTCATGCGGTGCCTATCATACCTTTGCGTGGACAGTCGATGGACTCTTTGCGTGTGGTAAGAATGACGAGGGTCAACTTGGTCTATCTACAGATAGCGATTATATGGAATTCACAATGGTTTTGAACGCTACTCAAATCAACAAGAATAAGAAGGAGGAGGAGGAGGAAGAGGAGAAGAAGAAAACTACTATCAATAAGACAACTGGGGAATCTTTAGGAGAATGTCGTTTGATTAAACGAGCCCAACTGACACATTTGAGTTGTGGAACCCATCATACATTACTTGCATTTCGTGATGTTGAGATAACAGCAGAAGAGGAGGAAACGGAAATAGAAAAAGAAACGGAATATGAGAAGGAAAGACGACGACAACACTTCCCACTTCTTATTCTAGCAACCGGAAAAGGTGATTTTGGTGAACTCGGATATGATGGAGACACGTGGTCAATACTTCAGGCAAAGGCAAAAAGAATGCAATCGGCACTTCAAGTGGAGATACAACAACATCATCAACAAAAAGGTCTTGAGAATAATACTGTTTCTGATTATCCAGAATTAATAGAAAAAAAATGGAAACCTCTTAAACAACGTCGAGCAGCGTTCTCTTCTACACGTTTTCAACCTGTGCGTCTACCTATGATAGTTGAACCCTCTGTAATCCCATCAAGTGTATATCCTCTTGAGATTATTAGTCTTCATGCAATGCATTTACACTCCAGTGTAGTTTTTCGAGATACTTCTCCAGGAAAAGATAATACATACTTAGATATAAATACAGGACGTATGAGAACTTTCCATTGGGGATGCTACTATTGTAACCAGGTTGAGGATGAAGCCTCATCTATTCCAAGGGAAGAGGAGGAAAAGAGTGGTGTTTCTCTGCATGCTGGAAATGAAACGATTTTCCGTTACCCAATGAATTCAACGTCAAGTAGTAAAGTTGAAGTGATGGGAAGTGGTATACTTGGATTGGGTGAAGAAGACTCATTTGAAACAACATGGGTCTCACTCCCACTTCCTCATCAGGTAGAAGATCTTCCTGTCCGTACTATTGATGGGAGGGAACATTACCTTATACTACTAGGAAATAGAATGGTACTTGGATTTGGTGATAACATGCATGGACAACTTGCTCTTGATGATAGTTTTGATGTTGTCCTAAGTCCCACTACTGTGATTCAAGTAGGTGATAAAGTGAAATGTCCCCCTCTTCCTTATTCCTCCTCTACTAGTACTTCCCACACTAATAATACTAGTACTAATACTTCCTCAGATACACTTTGGACAGTAGAGAGTATTTGTGATATGGCATGTGGGTTGCGTCACTCTGTCTTCGTTGTGGAGGTCCGCCCAAGTACATAGATTTACTTATTTCTGTTAAAGAAGAAGAAAAAAAAAAACGAAAAATAGAGGGAAGATGGGGAAACGGTGTGGAATTTGCAGATACTGCAGTGTTTTGCATGGAGTTGTTGTTTTTGTTGTTTTTTGTTCTCTCAGTATAACGAAAAGGATGGGAGGAAGAAAGCATATGGACGTTTACTCTTTTTTTTTTTCTTCTTTGCATTACTATATTTTATCCTTTATGATGATGTTGTATATTTTACTTTTTTTTCTTTTTGTATTGTGACGACGCATCCTTTACATTAATGCCTTGCGATGGCAAGAGGAAGGAGAGAGAAATTTAAACTATATTTTTCTTCTTTTTTCATACCTTCTACAAATATATATATATATATATATTATATATAACTGTGCTGCTTCATTTGGGTCCTTTTTTTTTTTCTTTTTCTTTTTATTGATGTTTTCTTTGAAGGCAGTACAGCACTAAACGTAAGAAGTGTTTCTGCTGTTTGCCAATCTATCAGACACAGAATATAATTAATGTTGCGCTTTACAACTGTTAGCACCATAAGACGCTGTGGGGCCAGAAGTTCAACAGCAAATCTTTGGTACTTGGTTTCTAGAAGCTGTAGTTCCCTCAATGGACCTAATTCAGATCTTCCTCTACATCCTCAATTGATTGAAGAGCTACAGGAGCTGTTAGAACGTGTTCCTTCAGAAAAATGGATTTCTGTTGGATCGCTTTATAATGATCTCTCTCTTGATAGTCGTCGACGGCATGTTCGCCCACACAAAACACTTGCTGCTGCACTTGCAAAAGCGGATGGACTTGGTATTTCTTTGAATCATAGTGGTCTTATGTTTTGTAAAGGTAATCCACCAAAAGATATTGAGGCTACAAGGGATACAGGTAATACCTGTAGTAGTAGTAGTATCAATAATCATAGTGGTAGTAGTCTAGGTCTTTCACAAGGTGCAGTTGTACATCCTGGAGTTCGAATAACGGTAGATTCACCAAATGATATGCCTTCAGTAGATTTTTACTATGATGTTGGACTGCGTGATTACCCTCCACCACCACCTGATTTTAATGTTACAACTTCTACCTTGCCTTCACCAATGTCAACAGGAAGTGACTCTGTCCTTTCACTTGCTAGCTTCGTCTCTTATATTCCTCCATTCTTTGTGCCATTAGAAGAAGTCCTGCAGGAAATGCCAGGTTACACAGAGGAACATATTGAGATGTATTTCAAACATCGTGCTTCAGAAATCGTCACAGTATTTGGTAAAAAATATATTCGTCTCTATGGTGGTTATGCAAAGTTTTCCTTGGATGGTTGTGAAGTAGCAGAAGAGCGATTTGCCCGCTATAGACCAGATCCTGCAGCGATGCAGCCATTTATTGCTGCCTTTGCTGGTGTGACGGGTCGATGGATGCCACTTCGTATTCTACTTGAACGGGCCGGGCATACAGCCGTTGCGGCATTGCCGTTTAAAGGACCTGCTGCTATTATTTACTTTGCACAGATGCAGCATGTATTTGCCTTTGCGGTTGACCGAGATGGAGGATCTGTGTTACTGCGACCACCGGGTTATAATGGACTCGAATGTGAAACCACCCCAACACCTAAATCGTGTAATTTTATTTTACGTAAGGTCCCTCAGGAGGGACAAGTAGATATTCGTCAAATTCAAGAATCCATACCTTCTCCTATACAGAATGAGGTGGAAATATTTTATGGTACACTTTTGCGTTTTTTTCATTTTCATGCAGCTGTATTTTCTCTTAGTGAAGATGGAGCTGTAGTAATGCGTCGACGGTTTAAAGATCGATTAGAAAAAAAACAACTATCACTCGAAGAACAATTGGAAATTGCTATTCAAGAACGAAATAAGAAAAAAATTCGTTCCATAAGACGACGGATAGCTTTTAGAAATGATCCATCTAATCCTTTTCATGACCCTGACAACCTCGCACGTGAAATTCATCGTTATCTTCCTAAGAAAGGTCATGTCCCGCTTAAAACATTTCTTAAAAAGAATATTCCAGAAGAGTTACTTAATTATCTTCCACGACGATTCTGGAATTTTTTTAGTAACTATCCACAATACTTTCAACATTTTGAATACCAGGTACCTGGACAATGGTGTGTAAGTAGACCTGGTCAACCACTTCCACGTGGTGTTATTAGACAAGATTTCTCAGATGAGGATCTGGTACGTCTGGTAGCGGAGTACTTGCAACAGCGTGGGGCTAAAGCGTGCTCTAATATTATTCTACATCTCCCTCGTGGAGCGCAAGAGGCTGTGCGAAAACGTTATGGTGGTGTCTTTTACCTTTTACAGGCGTTTCCACAATATTTTAATGTTGTGTTACCTTCTGAAACAGGAAATGTTGTAAGTGCTGCGATGGCTCATTTGGTAGAGCTTCCTGGTGCGGATTTTGGTGGTAGTGGTGGAGGTGGAGGTGGGAAATCACATGATAATAGCGATTTGAGAGATGAGGATGAAGGAAACGATACAGATGATGATTTTCCATAGCTTTGCTGGAACACTGCATATATATATATATATATATATATATATATATATATAATATTCACATTTACATAGAATAGGGTTGAGGAAAGTAGTGAAGGTGTGGGTAAGAGAGGATTGTGTGCGTGTGTGTGTGTGTTTGTCTCTCTCTCTCTCTCTCTCTCTCTCTCTCTCTCTGAGGTGACTGGTGAGATGGAAAAATATGAAGAAAAAGAAGAAGGCATAAAAGGCTGAAGAAGAAAATATTGCGATAGTTTGACTCTGTGACAAATACTTTCTTATTGTTGTCTTTTCTCTGATATGGGGAGAAGCATCATCGACATCATCAATGATAATAACAAATGCTAATAATGATAATAATATATACTGTGTATCTCTGTATCTCTTGTAATTCTTTTGATATTCAAGAGGATAGGAGGAAGTTTATTAATTAATTTATTTATTATTTGCATTTTTTTTTATTTACCCCTTTTTTTTTATTTTGAATATATTATCGCAAGTAAGAGAAAGGTGGAGAAGGGCGCGAGAAAAAGAAAGAAAAAAAGGTATAAAATAGTGAAACTCTCTCGAATGGCTCTTGCCTGTTGAAAGTAGCGAACTGTATAATACTATAAGAGAACCATATAACTCAAGAAAACGAAAGAATAAAAAAAAAAAAGAAGAGAAGGTAAAGCGAAAAGGATAGGAATATACACATGCAGATCAACCTTTCCCGGCGGAACCTCATTGAATTTGACTCTTCCGCCTTCACTACAGATGATGATCAAGAGGTTTTACGTTCCATTAAAGAGCTTAACATCTCTTTTAACAATATCTCCACTCTAAAAGGCCTCCATAGACTCTCTACCTTGACAACAGTTGATGTATCACATAATAGTATTGCCTCCCTTAGAGGACTCCCACTACCGTTGCGGAAATTAAATGCCTCTTTCAATGTACTCAGTGATCTCGACGGTTTGTTTCCGCTTCTTCACTTGGAAATTCTAGTGGTATCACATAATCAAATAACTAGTCTTCGAGGTTTGCCAGCGAAATTACGTATTATTGATGCCTCAAGTAATCGAATAACTTCAATTGTTGGAGTTGAAAAATGCAATGGATTAGAACAATTACAGATTTCTCAAAATATGATACGAACAGCAGAAGGTTTAGAATCCCTAAAATCACTTCACACACTAAAATCATTGATGATAGCTGAAAATCCTGTAACAAGAAGTCGTCGACACATTACTGCAGTTTCTTCGCTTCTCCCAGATAATTTAGAAATTGTGGATTTGCCATCATTTCCAAGAACAATGCAATCATCTGAAGTTTCTAGCCAAAGTAATAATACACATGATGTTTCCAGTAATGCCATATCGCTCAATACTACTAGTTTCAAAGATGCAATTAATCTCTCTGTACTTTCATCCACTAGCACAGGGAAAGTAAGTCATGAGACTTCTATTTATGGATGTCAATCGCAGGTTCCATCGTATCTTCATCACATACCACCAAAAGGGATTAGGCAAAATGAAGAGGAAACAGAAAATCTTATAAACAAGAAAGTAGTTTCTTTTGGTAGTGCTGAAAAATCCATAGAGAGACCACATTCTTCAGTTCCTTCTGTAACAGTCCCAATCCATTCCTCTGTTGGTACATCTATCACTGTAAATACATCACAAGATACAAGTATCACTCAACAACATCCGCAAATAGAAAGAGTAGAAAAGAGGCAAGAAGAAAAAATTATTACAGAAGTGGATATTTGTTTCTCTGAAATACCTACTAAACATGTCACAGAATCAATGGTGGAACGCCTTCAGTTTGAACTAGATGAATGTCGTAGAGTATGCGCCTTCTACAAAAAGGAAAATGCAGAACTACGTCATCGTATTCAATACTTGGAATTAGTAAATAAGCAACAATCAAAATCTAAGGAAGAGTCATTAGAAGGAAATCTTTTTCTACAACTTCCTTCTGCCTCTGGTTCTTCTCCAATGAAAATATCTGCTCTTCCTGATGCCTTAAATGGGGAAAGAAATATGAATCATAGCAATTTTTCTGTTAACCCTGTAAAAGAGGAAGTAAGAAAACCCTTAAATGAATCTGGACTCAATTGTGAAGAGAAGATTTTGCCAAATAACCATCACCGTCTTCACCAAGAGTTACAAGAACTACCAGGAGAAGTACTTTCTTTAGATGAAAAAGTTGAACTACGTCGTGGGGCACGTTCGTTGGCAGCATTATTTATGTCTCTCGTACCTGTATCGACGAATAGTTTGAGTCCATCCGGCACTATATCCGCTGGGGATGCTCATACTAGTAATGACCATCAACACCAATCGCCTTCCTGTGCAAGTGGGATGGACTACAACCATAACAGCGGTGGTCCATGTAGTTCAGAACGACAACGAGAAAATCAACAACAGAATGTGGAAGCTGGGAGGCGTAAACGGACAGTGTCATTTGGTGGTTTCGCATATTACTCACCTCCGCAGTGGTAAATGTAGATATCACATTGACATTAACTTACAGATTATTCTTCTTGGTGTTGTGTTTTTCGTCTGTTTTTTTTTTTTATTTATTTATTTAGAAAAAGCTTGGATTCGTGTGTATGTGTCTTGTTTTTTCTCTGTGGTATCAGACTATTTCTTTGTGATTTTTTTTTCTATATATATATATATATATATATATATATATATATATGCGTGTTTCTTGCCTTTTTTTTTACTTTTTACTTTTTCAGTCATTCTATCCCTTTTCAGTTTCCTTTTCTGTGATGTGTAATATGCATTCATATGTTTGTAAGAAGTAATGAGGGTTATCGACACTGAAATATTTTACAACCTATCTTTTTTTTTTTAATTATTTTCGTGTTTATTTATTTTTTATTATTATTGTTTAATTATTATTTCCCCCTTTAGGCGGGAAAAGAGAGTGTGGGGTGATGCCCCGATCATGCTCAGTAAAAGATGAAGAAAAAGGTTTTAGTCAGCGAAAGAAACGCATTGGGGCAGATAATTCTACAAATTGCTTAATACTACACTCGTTTGATAGTCAAGATCCTGTATCGATGACATGTGTAGCTGATATTCATCAACCAGGTGAATTATGTGATAAACTTCAACCTTTGATTACATTTGGTGGAAGTGAGGAAGGAACGGTAATGGCATTTCAATCTTGGAATGGAAAACCAGTGAAAAGAACCAAAGAAACAGATATGGCATCTGTGACTGCATTGCTAGTAATACCATCACACTCATGGATCTGCTGTGGTGATGAAAAGGGTGGTATTACAATCTTTCGACTCTCCGTAGGGCGGGAAAAAGAAGAAAATGAAGTTAATATGTCTCTTCTTTTTTCTTCTAATAAAGGTCATTCCTCTTCCGTTACGTGTTTTGCAACAGATGGTGATAATTTTGTTTACAGTGGCTCCATAGATGGTATTCTTATTTCATGGAAGTTACAGGAAACTATTAATTTAAATAAGAAAATTGGACATCATACAGGAGAATTATCTCAGATTCTTACAGTAGGTAATAAATATCTTCTTTCAGTTGGGCCAAACTCTCCTGCCATTCACGTCTGGCCACTAGGAGGAGAAGAAAAAGAAAAAGAAGAAGAAGGAGAATCAACACAAAATCCATTCTCTCTACGGGGCCATACTGGTGGTGTACTTTGCTCACTTTATCTAAAAGGTTCTCGTAATGGGGATGGTATTCTTTGGAGTGGCGGAGATGACTGTTTTATTCGTATTTGGGATTTAAATAACCCTGTGCATCTTAATTCTCGTATCGCTTCAAATAGTAAAGATGTGAAAATAATGATGAAAGATAATTCCTTAAGTGAATATAGTGATGAATATGATGATGATGAAATGGATGATTCTATGCAAGATAATTCAATTCGGATGCTTATTGGACATAAAAGAACAGTTGTTGCTCTACGTGAAGCTCATGGAATAGTCTTCTCGTGTGATGTATCAGGTTCATTTTTAGCTTGGAATCCTCATCGTTATTGGCTTCTGCATGCCTTTTCAGTGCCTCTTGGAAGAGGACTGCAGAGGACACCATCTATTGTTGGTAATAACAATGATGTTACTGAAGATAAGGAAACTTTTAACAGTAATGAAATCGTCTATGGGGCGAGATGTCTTGGTTTTATGGAGGGTTTTTATTGGATTATTGATACACTTAGTGGTCCACAGAGTGTATATATGCCCAATCATCCGCGTCTTAGGAAGTCATTATCTTACAGTGAAGTAGATAATCCAGAAACTGTTAACGAAATTATAGATGAAAGTGTGATGATGAATAGATTTGTAAACTATGTGCAAGAAACATTGGATTTCTTTCTTCATTACATAGGGACTCATAGCGAAATCTTCGCTACCTCTGTCAATGCTCAGTTACTTGAACGAAATGACAAGAAGAAAGAACTGTTACTTTCAACTGCGGTGATGGCAACAAACTGCTACCACGTACAGTCATTATCATCACCAGTTTCTTTTAATAACCCAATTCAAGAGAAAATGAAAAATGATTGTAATGATATAATTCCTTCAGTGCACAGTAATTTCACTGATGTGAATAATTTACAAACACAACAAATGGATTTGGAACGGGAACGTCAACGGCTGCAAAAGGAGGCGATGCACTTAGACGATAAAGTTCTGGCGGTGGCCCGATTGGAGGCAGAACTCATAGAAATGAAAAAACAGCAGGAGTCTCGTGATGCTGAGCGTGAGGATCTTCTCCGATCTCTTATGAAACGGGAACAGGAACGAGAACAACAGTTGGCCCAAGTAAGTACTGAACTTTCTTTCCTGCGACTCAAATATGCTGATTGGGGTAGTGTAGTGGAAAAGCAACACTAGGAATGAGAGATAGTGTGTGAATATACCTTTGGTTTTGGCGTATATATATATATATATATATATATATATATATATATATATGTCTGTGTGTGTGTTTGTTTTTTTCTTTTTTACTTCTGGGTGCGTGTTAGTGCTGTTGTTTGAGGTTTTTTGTTTGTTTGTTTGTTGCCTTCTTTCTTTATTTGGTTTAAAGTTGTAATTCTACTGTTATGACGCAAAAATTTATAATGTGACCCACTGATAATCATATGGATTCTCTATGCGAGAGACACACATACACTATGGTTTCTCTTTATTTATTTTTTTCTTATATATGTATTTATGTATTTATAAAACAGTGCATTGGGAATTCTCAGCTATTGAAACTACTATCAAAGTAGACTAATCCCCTAAAAAACAAAAGAAAAAAAAGAAAAAGAAAAAAAAAATGTTTCGGCTTCACCGCATTCTACGTAGTTTGCCTTTTGAGCCGATGGCTTTATCAGCCTTTGAAACCATAGAACGTGTATCCACATCTTCAGGAGTTGGAACATCATCAAAAGCATCCACTTCACAAAATCCATTGTATTTTATTTCCCCTAAACACGATGGGGTTCGTATAGTTTCATATGTTAGTGAACGTGCAGAATCTCAAAAATCTACATGTTTTTCTAGATTTGGGAGACCTGTACATGGTATGTTCTGGATTGAAGAAGAACTACAACTCTTACGTTGGCTTTGTGGAGACCCTCGCTTGGTATTGGATGGTGAATTATATATTCATAGAGAATCATCAGATGATTCAGATAATGAAAATGGTGTAAAAACTGGTTTTTTAGCCGTTTCAGCGTTAGTGCATCGTCTACGTGGACCTAAATCTGCCTGTTCAACAGAGGAAGAAGTTCTTAGCTACGTTGCCTCATTACCTCGTTTCTGTATTTTTGATATTGTTTCATTTCAACCTTCGGATAATATTAATTTAAATAATGAAAAAAGTGTTAGAGGTCTTTCACAAATTGAGAAGGAACGATTGATTATTATCCTTGAGGTAATGAAAGCCAATCATATTTCTGATATGGAATTACTTCGTGTTATTCCCAATTATTCAGTGTTTTCTCAACGACTCAAGGCGATGAATTTCTTGATGAGTCTCTTACAGAGAGCCTATTCCTCTCCTATTTTGTTTCCTGGAAGAAATCCTACTAATAATACTAATGTCACAGATTCTGCTTTTGCGGCTTCTCATTTACTTAAATCAAATAAACGAATTAAACAAAAAGGAATAACTACTAATTCTAAAAATATTGGAGGAGAATATGTTCAACTTATTCAATACTCAATCCTTCACTCTCTTGAAGACGCGAAGCGTGTCTATCTGAATAAGTATGTATCTAATGGATATGAGGGGGCAGTTATTCGAAGTGCAACAAATGTGTATGAAGTGAGGGAAAAGGAAAAGGGTATGTTACTTGGTTTATTAGAGCCTATCCTTCCTGGTAGTGAAAATCTAGTGGTTAACACTAAGGGTTCACGGCGACGAGGACAACATATACATAATGAGGAATCTACTTCACTTCTTTGTACATATACTAGTGATAAACCTGCTAATACAGTGAATGATGATACATCTAATTTGAGTGAGATAGAACAAAGTAAAGCAGAGGATGCTAATCATGAAGAAATTGCAAAAATAGTATTGAAACGGGCTAAACAAAATACCAGACGAAGTAGCACAGTAGTAAAGTTACTCCCATTTTGTGATAAGGAATATGCTATCCTAAAACCACTCTTGAAACTACCTTCTAGTAACCCACGAGCTCGTAGACTTGTGAGTATTCCTCTTTCTTCTCTTCATGAAGGGCGTAGTGCTATTACAACTCCTAAAACATCTATTGGAAGAGCGGCATCTGAGAAAAATAAAGATAGTAAAGTAGTGGTTTTTTACGGACTTCAATGTCTTAGCGATACAGGTCGTGTGTTTAATGTTCCATTACCAAAGATGGATGTAACGAAACAGCGGGCACTTTTAAATCATCTCTTGGAAGTTACTGGAGGATCTAAAAAAAGAGGAAAATCAGATACCCGACAGGTGGGTCGCCGATCTTTAACAGGATTGTACGCTACTGTGAAGTTTCCCACTCTTACAGAGCATGGGATTCCACGTTTTGGTCAAGTAAAGGCCATTCGTGGGGGAAAGGGATGGTTTATGTGAAGAATCATCATTATGATAACATTCAGATATTTATTATTATTATTTTATTTATTCTTTTTTTTTTCTTTCTTTTTAACCAGTATCTCTCTTGGTCTAAACCTCCTATCTCAAATTACTGCAATGGATTAGAACAGGTGTTTCTGTTGATGAATGTATTTTGTTATTATCATTTCCTCTTTTCTTTATTTTCTTCACTTTTTTTCTTTTGTATTTCTTTTTTTTTTTATGTGATTTTCCTTTAAGAAGGAGAAGAAACAGGGAGGGGAATATTTTAAACGAGGTCACGTAAAGAAAAGAGTAAAAAAGAAGAAAAGAAGAAAAGAAAACAACAAAAAAAAAAAACAATAATGGGAAAGAAAGCCACATTTGAGCGAGCACATCAAAGGCAACTTCGCCATACGAGAGAACAGCGTGATCGTAAGACTGCAGCTGTTAGGGCAACACGCCGTGGAGAGGATTCTACCGTTCGCCTCATTCAACGTACGACGCCTACAAGGGCAATTGTATCCGATGAAAAAAAGATCATGCTTGTAGAGCAGTTTGCTCAAGCTTGCCGTCTTCCTGCCACATGTGAAGATCTTTGTACTTTACTTCGTCAAGCAGGAGGTGAGGAAACACAAGATGTTGATGTCTCTCGTAAACGACCACGTGAAAACTCTGAGAAAGATGAATCGGTTTTATCTTCTATTGTTGATGCATTTCTTCAGCTTGAAAACCAAGCTGTAACGACAGCAGATGAAGGTAATGATAATAATAATGATGATAATAATAATAATAATAATAATAATAATAATAATGGAGAGGAACCTGTTTCACTTTTAGAGGATGTTATTCAAAATGAATGTGGAGGACGTGTGGTTTGCGCTTTAATATCCGCTGTAGATACTTGTAAATATGAAAAGAAGTTTTCTGTATTGGATGCTGTGACTAAACTCTTTGAAGAGAATGAAACATTATATGGACATTTTGTGGCTTGTAAAGTAATGAGTTCATTGGTCCAACATGGTGATCGTTCTATACAAAAAAGAATTCTCCAAGTGTTAAGACATCATGCAGTAACAGCGGAACAATTACAAGGACAACTCCGTAATCGTCATTCATCTGTGACGATACAACATCTTCTTGAACACTTTCCCACAGAGACGGCCGCATGGATAGGTGATACATTGGGTATCACAAAATGTGATGGAAAAACTAATAAAGAAAAGGAAGAAGAAAAACAAGAAGAATTAATTTCATTAATTCTTGATCCTGTGGCATCACCTGTTGTACGTGCCTTCTTTCTTCGATCAAATTCTCGTTTATCTTTTATGAAATCTATTGATATTTCAAAACTTCTAGAAAGTAAACGAGGTTGTAAATTTTTACAAGAGGCTTTATTATCTTCTGAATTACAAAAATGGTCTTCAGATGAAGCTATTGAAGTATTGGATGTAGTTATGCCTCTTTGTGAAGATAAAATTGTGGAAATGTGTACTTCAAGTGATGCCAATTTTGTTGTTCAAGCTATTTTTGAACTTATTTCTCATACTGGAGAAACGGTAGCAAATGAACGTTTTAAACGCCTTTTGCATTTGTTAGGACCACATTTAACTTCCTTAATGACTCATCATATTGGAGTCCATGTGGTAGTTCATCTTATTGTGAAAACTATTACACTCACTACAAAATCTATAGTTGAAGAAATAGCAACTACACTTATTACACGGAATAATGTGGTCGATATGTTAAGAGATTCAAATGGCAGTTTGGTTGTACGAAAACTTTTGCCACTCTGCAAAGTGAAAAATTCTAAAATTGGTCAGTTACTTACAATTACCTTTGAAAAAGATATGACTTCTTTAATATATGATTCCATTGGAAATTTAACAGCTCAAGAATATATCAAGGTTTGTGGAGCTGAAGAACTTGCCCGTAAACTTATTAAAAATGATGAATTATTAACTATGTCTCAACATCCTTACGCTTCTCATGTTATAGGATGTCTTTTTGACCATGTGGGAGCGTCTACACATACGAGTCTCTGTAATGCCCTTCGTCCACATGTTGTAAATCTATCAACACATTTAAATGGTCGATTTGTTGTTGAGAAAGTGATTCATACAAATCGTGATATATGTGATCTTCTTCTTCGCGAATTTACTGCTCTCGCTTGTGAAAAAGGAACTCAACATGTACTTTGTACTTTGGTGGCTAATTTGGATCAACGTGGTAGACAAAAGGTGATAAGCACTGTAATTTCTGGACTTTATAATTTGGCTACCCAACAATGTAGCTCTGTTGTTTTACAAAAATTGATGCAGACAGATACCTCAGTCTTACAAGCAGTAAAAGAAGAGTTGTCACGGAAACCACATCTTCGAAACAATCTCGCTCAAAACTTTTTCGGTAAGTTTGTTGTGCAAATAAGTGAAGGAAGTGGGAATTGAGTGGACTTGAAAATTGAATGAACTATATTCCCCTTCTTCTTCTTCTATAGGAAGTGGGAGGAGAGAAGGTCCCCTTTAAGAGAAATGAAGAAAAAGGAAGAAAAAGAAAATAAAAAAAGATATATATATATATATATATATATATATA